GGGAGGGGATGGAATCACCATCCCTGGATGTGTTTAAACAAAGATTGGATGTGGTGCCATGGTTTAGTCGGGATGTCAGGGATGGGTTGATGGAAGATGTTGAAGGTCTCGTCCAACCCTGGTGATTTTGGGATTCTGGGATGTGTGTTTGGGGCTCTGCAGGTTGCAGGGATGGTGAGATTTCCTCGGCACGGCAGCGCCCACACCCTGCAGAGCCACCCAACCACCGAGGCTGCAAAAACCCTCTGAGAAGAAATCCTCACCGGGAGGAAAAACCTGCAGGGCGCAGACGTTTTTYAGGCTGAGCTTTTTACTTGCGGCAMAATGGGAGGGATTCCTTTCAGGACCGACTAAACCCGGCGTGTCCCGGGGTTTGTGTTTGTGAGCAGGGCTCAAAGCATGGCACACCCGGCACTCTCTAAGGACCGGGTTTTAGGAAGGAGAGCAAAATTTCCTTCAGTGCCGGTCCGTTTCTCTCTCTCCTCAGTAAGTTCTCCTGCCTTCATAAGTCCCCCAGAGGGCATTTCCATCCTCCTTAGCCCAGGGAGAGTGCTCGGGGAGGTGCGGTGGCTCCGGGGGCTGCTCCGGGCACGGCTGGCTCGCCCTGGAGGGCTCGGTGGCCACGGGCACCAGCGGGGAGAAGCCGTAGGGCGAGCAGGAAGCGTAGCTGGGCGAGTAGTGGGCATCTTCCAGGGGGTGCAGGGGGTAGGGCTGGGCTCCAGGGGTCCAAGCCGAGCCTCGGAAAGGGGAAACGCCTCCGGAATCGGGCAGGGAGAGGCAGCTGGAGCTGGAGGAGAGCGCCTGCAGAGGGTCGGAGCACGCAGGGTCAGGCTGGCTGAGCATCTCGGGTGAACTCTGCTCCCAGGGCTCTCTCTGCAGGGAAACGGGGAGAAGGAAAGAAAAACTTTTAGGAATAAAAAGCCTGCGCTGGAGGCTGTGGAATGGCTATCCCTGGGAACCTCAGAGGGGTTTTTGTGGCTCTGGGGAAGAGTTTGGTGCTAAAATTGATAAAAGGAAGCATCCGTCCTGTTAGTAGAATAAAATCCCAGCAGGATTGACCCGCCCTGCACCCAGGAGCTCTATCCTGGGGGTGCGAGTGGAGCTGGCTCCTGGGATGGGGACAAGGGACAGCCTGGAGTCACCAAGGGCTGTCCCTAGAAACTCCAGGAGGGAGATTTCACAGAATCCCMGAAAATCCTGAGCTGGAAGGGACCCRCCAGSATCACCAAATCCAACTCCTGTCCGTGCACAGGACACCCCACCACCCCCACCCCGTGCCTGGGAGCGCTGTCCAGCTCAGGGCCACCTCCATGGGTGTCTCCAGTAGGAAAAGGCGAGGATTAGACGGGATCAGAGTGAAAAACCTTCCCCTAAAACCCTGCCCCAGCTGCTGTGGCTGCTCCTGAAACAGCCTCATCCTTCCCCCTTGACCAAACCCCGCATTTAACGGGGTGAGCTGTCCCCGGGGGATGGAGCCACTGACCAGCACGAAGTGTCCCGTGTCGCCGGGGAAGGATGGCAGCAGAGGGGCCGGAGCGCTGAAGAAGGAGCCGGTGCCGGCTGCGAGGGCAGGAGGAGCGCGGTGATCCCCGAACTGCTCGGACACAAAGGGCTCCAGGAGGGCCGGGCAGCCCTGAGGGGCAGAGGAATCGCACGGGAAGGGTTTGGGACCCAGAGGGGAGGAGTAGACATCGCTGACAAACTGCTTGGCGCTGTGGAAATCCAGCTCGGCCGGGAAGGATCTCCGGACGCCGTAGTAACCGGCGGCGGTGGGAGAGCCTGGGGGGCAGAAAAAGGGTTGGRAAATCGTCAGGAAAACTCTAACATCAGCCACGGGGCTGGGGACACCTCTGGGGGTGCAAAGTGAGCTCTTTTCTGGCCAGCATCACCCAGGAATCCATCCTGGTGTGAGCCCGGGTGCTGCTGGTTCTTCCYGCAGAGATTCAAAGTGTTGGGGGAAGATTTGAGGAGGAGGGCAGGGGGCTCCAGGGCAGCTCAGCCAGSCTGTGCTCCCTCCTGGCTCTGCTCCAGCCCTTGGGGAGGGGGCTCCAGCCTCGCTCATTTTCCCTTCTCAAGAGTTCAAGGGTCAGCTCCTGATTTTGTGCCTCCTTCTCTCTCCAGCTCCAGAGAAAATTGGAAAGCACAGGAGGAAAAGGAGGGATTCAGCGTGGCTGCTCTGCTGAAAGAGGTGGGAACCGCTTTAATTACTCTCTTGGAGAATTCCGTACAAGATTGTCGCTGTTCTTTTTTGGATTCTTTTAATTACTTTCCTCCTGGGCTCTCTCTGAGGGTTGGTTCCATGCCCTCTGCAGGAGAACAGCCAGGGCTGTGCCAGCCATCCCACCTGCATGGAACGGGWTCATCCGTGGAGGAAAAGCCTCACCTGGAATTTGGCCAAAGGGCGACTGCGCTGCGCCGGTGCTGCCCTGAGAAAGATAAAGAAATGTTTAAAAAATGACTTTTTAAAGCAATTCAGCTCCCTGAGAGCGTGGTTCAGGGAGGTGTTGGTATAATTCATGTGCATTCCTTGAGCCTGGGTGCTGTGGAGGGTTTAACTCTGTGATTTCCAGCTCGGGGGCATTAATGGATGTAGATAAGCAGAGATTGTGAAGGTGTTGTGCAGGGCTGATAAGAGGAGGAGTATCGAGATAACTGGCTTCTCCCAGGGRCCCTCAGTGCAGCCATTTCGGTGTTGGCACRAACCAGAAAGGTYTCAGTAAGGTGAGATCTGAGCCCTYGGGTGGCCAAAATTGGCGAATTTTCGGACGTGTTCCTGCTCAGCTCACCCGGCCCCTCCTGGCAGCAAAGGTGT